AAGTCAAATGTGAAAGAGACATCAAATTTATTTAAAACAAAAAATTCAGACAGTGCTATTAAAGAGTAAAAGAAAATGAAGGCTTCTTTTACTGAAGTGACATAGCAGGCAATTTACAGCACTTACATCAGTTCTGAGAGAATCAGGTTGGGTTTACACTGCTTCAATCAACTACATCTACTTCCCACAAGACAAACCGGGTCCCCTTCCCTCCCCTTCCCAAAAGAACAGCCCAAACCAGCCTATGAAAAACACATACAGAATTTTGAGACACATGATCGAAACACGAACCATTGTCCAAAAGCCTGAAACTTCCCAACAAGGTTAAATCCTCTGTTGCTTCAACCAACCCTCAACGGGGGAGCTACAAGCACAACGCCGTCACCTCTGACAAAGAGCATCGGAATATTCCTTTTGGTAGACTATGAAGAAGGAAAGAAAAATTTACATTTACAAAACTGTAGTTTACACAACATCTCCTAAGCATCTGACCAAACACAATCCTAACAGAACACCAGAAACAACTCCAATACATACAAGCTCAAATGTACAACGTCCTGGCATGCTGAAGCAATCAATACAACACCAAGCCATTGATTACCCTTTGTACTTTCATGACAATTTGCCCCAAACTCCTGTGGGTTCATCAAATAGTCAGCAATAAACTATAACAACATAACTGATTGTGTTTATCCCCATAGAAAGCTTTTTAAAAAGTACACCAAGTCCTTACCTTATAGATCTCTTCATAGGTTTCTTCATCAATCTCTATTGTAGTTACAGTTTCTTCCACATCGCCCAAGATCATATTTAAGTGCTGATCATATGCCTGTAGGAATGAAGGTAGTTTATTACTTCTTTCAGGATTCAAACAGAAGCTTATTAAAATAAGGATTCCAGCAAGACTTTCAGACATAATTAGTTTAGTCTGATTTTGACCAAAATATGCCACTATATATATATTAAAACAAAGTAATATCAGTTATAGTTGTATTTCAAAACAAATAACAAATACAGTACTCTGGAGCTTACAAAAAAAGGAAGACGCATTTCATAGAATCATAGACTCATAGAATAGTTAAGGTTGGAAAGGACCTTAAGATCATCCTGTTCCAACCCCCCTGTCATGGGCAGGGACACCTCACACTAAACCAGGTCACCCAAGGCTTCGTCCAACCTGGCCTTGAACACTGCCAGGGATGAAGCATTCACAACTTCCCTGGGCAACCCATTCCAGTGCCTCACCACCCTTACAGTAAAGAACTTCTTCCTTATATCCAATCTAAACTTCCCCTGTTTAAGTTTTAACCCATTACCCCTTGTCCCGTCACTCCAGTCCCTAATGAAGAGTCCCTCCCCAGCATCCCTATAGGCCCCCTTCAGGTACTGGAAGGCTGCTCTGAGGTCTCCACGCAGCCTTCTCTTCTCCAGGCTGAAGAGCCCCAACCTTCTCAGCCTGTCTTCATATGGGAGGTGCTCCAGTCCCCTGTTACTGAAACACTCTTAAAGGAAATAGCTCTGAAGCATTCACATACAGAACACACACAAGAACAGAGACAGACATACTTCATTACTATTAAACCAGCTACACATTCTCTGCTACCAGTCCAGCCTCCTGGAACTGAATGCCTGGGGTCAACTTAAAGGCCATGAAAGCTGTAATTCATACAGCTCTCCAAAGATTTAAAACAAGCACGTGTTTCAAAAACCTTACAAAAGCATGTTGCAAACTACACATTTGCCTCATGGATGTCTCCTCATCTTTGCAGTCCCAAAGGAGCTGAAGGCCAGTTAACATAGGGGCAACTCTTCCCCAACACGGTAGAGCACTTGGGAAGGATGACTGACAATAGAAATAAAGATTCTGTCTCATCAAGAAACATATAACTCTCAGAAGAAAGCACTTACACAAATGAGACCTGCAGAGAATCCAGCTGAGCACATATCCCATCATAGCCTCATAGGGTGTGCCACGAGGTACTCGTTTGATAATGATAATCTCACCCTTAATTCAGTCTTAAAGAGACCTCAGGGTACTTCACAAGAGGCCTGCAGCATTATTGCTTATTTCAAGCACAGAAATGGAACCCAAAAGCAGTGGAATTAATTGTTTGGTATCATTCAGGAGACAAGAAAACCCAAAATACTCTAAAGCAGCATTTAACAGCAGTCAGAGCACTGAACAGATTAGATTTTTCCACCAATCACATTTTACCTTTGATAAAAGAAAGGGCTCAACCCTTGTTGCTAAAGTGATCTCTAACTTACCTTCTGCAACCACGTCCACGCTTTCAACCACGAGATACAATTACTTACTTTCTTAAATGGACTTTTTAAGCCATCAACCAAGTATTACAGGCAAGCCTGTGTAATAGTCTATTGTGCATGAAAAAAGGCTGCCCAGTGTTTCACTGAATAAGCACGGCAGTGTTCTGAATGTTCTACTTACATGTAGCCTGCCTCTAAGCTCTCTGTCATTCCTCATTTTGACATAGATTCGCTCATCGAGACTGAGCCTGATGAGATCAAGCGGCTCCTCTACAGTATTGGTTGTTTGTTGCTAAAAAAAAGCAAATATAAAAGGTTATTTGCACAGAAGAAGCCGCTGGTTGCAAGACACAGAAAACAAACAGGGAAGAACATGGATATATTCCAAATCATTCCTTCGCACTCCATTGGAAGCGAGTGCAGCTGATAGTAGCACTCTATGGGTGTTCACCAGCCTGAGCAAAGGACTTCAGTTTAGTTTTAGGATCACATCTAAGATGTGTGAACACCTCTGTGCATACCCCATGGCACACTGCTTATTCCCTTCTCAGTGAGGCAGAGCCAAGGGTGTTTTAGAATCATGAATGGTTTGGGTTGGAAGGGACCTTAAAGCTCCTCCAGCTCTGCCAAGGGCAGAGACACCTTCCACTAGAGCACCTTGCTCCAAGCCCCTGTGTCCAACCTGCCCTTGAACACTGCCAGGAATGGGGCAGCCACAGCTTCTCTGGGCACCCTGTGCCAGCGCCTCAGCACCCTCACAGGGAAGAGCTTCTGCCTAAGAGCTCATCTCAGTCTCCCCTCTGGCAGGTTAAAGCCATTCCCCTTGGCCTGTCCCTACAGGCCCTGATGAAGAAGCATCCCTGCAGTATCCCAATACCGGTCCTCCATTTCCCTCCTCTGGGGGTGCCCCCTCTCCTGACCACCCGGGCGGCGGCGCAAGGACCGAGACCAGGAAACACGCTCATTTCACACCGAAAGCGCTCCCGCAAAGGGCTGCGCCTCACAAAGGCGGCCCAAGCTGGGGCCTCCGGCGGGAGGTACCCCCAACCCCGGCTAACCCAACCCCGGCTACCCCCACCCCCAGCCGCGGAGGCCTCCCCATGCCGGCGGAGGGAAGCCGAGCCCCCCTCACCTGATCCACCTCATCCGCCATCTTTCAAACCGCCTCCCGCGCTCTCCCGCGAGACTTTATGGCCCTTCCCCTCCGCCGGGGCCGGAGCCGGAGCCGTTGGGGCGGACCGAGGGGCGGTGGGAGCCCGGCGGGGCCGCTGCGGAGGGGACGGCTATGGCCAGGAAGCGCAAAGCTTCGCCTCGACCGGCGGCTGCCGGCGGCAAGAGGCGGTCCGGGGGGCTGCGGGCACCGCGGGGGGATCCGGAGGAGGAGGAGGAGGAGGAGGAAGAGGAGGAGGAAGAGGAAGGTGAGTGCGGGAGGAGGGCCGAGCCGGGAGCTGCGCCATAGCCGGGGCATGGTGCCCTCCGGGCCTCTGGTGCTGCGGGAGGTCAGGGAGTAACTGGTGTCAGTGCAGGGGAAGGGCCGTTACCTGAGGCTGCAGGCGTGGGGTCCTGCGGTCACCGGGTTGGCACCCAGAAATGTGGGGGTAAATCCGTGTGTGAAGGGCAGGATTGTTGGAATCTCTATGGACTTTGGACAGGTTCCCCATCCCTGGCGGTGTTCAAGGCCAGGTTGGACACAGGGGCTTGGAGCAAGCTGCTCTAGTGGAAGGGGTCCCTGCCCGTGGCAGGGGTTGGAACTGGATGGGTTTTAAGGTCCCTTCCAACCCAAACCAGTCTGGGGTTCTGTGATTCTTGTGCATTACCTTATTATGAGTATGTGCGTTAAACAGATCTTGTTCAATTCTTACTTCTTTATACAGGGTCAGTGACAGGCTCATCATTGAGAGTGCTCACTTTCTTCCCTAATGAAGTCCGTGGAGGTTTTGTTTCCGATTGCCATGCAGATGAGACTTCATCCTTTAATACAGCCTTCCTTCCTTCCTTCTGTCCCATGTAGATGATTTTGAAGAGAAAAAGCCCAGAGTAAAGAAGAACAACTCCAAAGCTCCAGCTAAGAAGAAGAAAGAAGAGTGTGATACTGGAGTTTCTAACTCAACAAGTAACTCTGCAAAACAAAAAGGGGCAAAATCACCGAAAAAAGAAGATAAGAAGACCCCCAGAAATAAAGAGAATCATAACACAGAGGAAACATTCAGGCAAGTGCAAGTTTGCTTCTCATTCAAGTCTACAGGAGCTTTCTCTTCATGTTACTTGCTTAGAGCCTGGTGCTGCATATGTGCTTGTGAGCAGTTTGTTTTAGCCCGCCAGTCCCATTTGTTTCACACAGCTGAACAGAAGTACTCTCTTATTCAAATATGGGAGCCTTTTCAAATGTACGGGTTTAAATGCAAAGTTTTACTGCATTCGGTATAGTCTTAACGTGGAACTAGGAAGACATTGTGGAATCCGGCATGACTAGAAATGCTGGCATGAGATTTGGGGTTAAAATGATAAGCAGAAATCTTTAAACATATCATTCTCTAGTGATTTTTTTGAAGCCAAATATAATATCATCATGGTCTTACAGAGAATGTACCTGTATTTAATTGTCAGATAACGTGTTGATTATCTGACACTGAGTTGAGTATCTGTTGAGTATCTGAGCTACTGAGGCAGAGGTCATGCTTCATTTATTTCCCTATTTCTCTGTTTTTCTCAAGTAAAAAAGCACCACCGTTTCCTGATCTTAAGTCTTTATGATAACTTTAACAGTGACTCCCTGAAGCCCCCTCCAGAGGAGATAAAGCTGAAGAGAGAATCTCCTGTTAAAAAAGAGGCGGATGAAGACAATACTGATGATGATGATGAAAGTGAAGATGAATGGGAAGACGTGGAAGGTAACGATTACATGTTTATTCATTTTAAGGAGTTAATGTTGTTATACACTTCTTTTCCTGTAAGTTGATTTTGGAACCGTTTCTCATTTGGATTCAGGTAAATTTATCTACTCTGTATACCTAAAGTATGTTCCATGTGCATATCTGTATCTTTAAAAGCTCATATCTTACAATGCTTTTAGAATGGTTCCGGAGCAGAAAAAAGCGAGACAGCTACTGACCTGATGGTAGTGCCTTGAATTTGTTGGCTTCTGTTAAGCTTATGCTACCATTCACAAGGCATTTTCTCAGCTGTTTGTGTGTCTTGTGAGCAGCTAAGAAGGAGTTTGAAGATTCAAAACTGTGACATCCTAGTAGGACATGAACCCAACTGAGCTTTATGTTTGCAGAACTCCAGGAACCTGCCACGGATAACTTAGAAGCTGCTGTTCTTCCACTGCTGCCAAGCAACCCTGTTGAGATAGAGATTGAAACCCCAGAGCTGCTGAAGAAAAGAGAGAGGAGGTAAGAATAGGGAAGACGGTGGAGGGCCATTAAAGGATGTAGTTAACAATATGCTAAGTCTTGACTGTCACTGACTTTCTGTGTTCTGGGTGGACATCCCCACTTTGTGCAGATAGTGTTGAGTTGGAATGGTGCAAGGTCATGGATGGAGAGTGGTTTTCACACTGGCAATGCCAGAAATCTTCAGTGGCAGTTGGTGGGAATGGAGGCATTTCAGCTTCCTTGAAAATCAAGTGTGTAACTTCATTGTGCTTTAATATCTACATTCCCAAAGCAGGGACAGCTGTAGCTCTCTTCAAGGAGAGCTGTGGGTGAATGGCACTGTTTTACTGAGGTGTGAATAGGTGGTCAAATGAAAGCCCTCAGCACCTGGAGCATTACACCAAGGAATTAAAAGTTTAGTATTGACCCCTCAAAAACTAACTGGTAGAGTTTAGGCCATCTGCATATGCTAAATCTCTTCATAGTCAGGTACGTAGAGTTCACAGTTTATTAGTCACATGCATCCTGCATTCACATATCCAGTAACTGAACTTCTGTTAAGTGTGCACAGAAGATTCTCTGGGATGGGTTCCCTTTGTGAACTGATTCAGTTTAGGAATCTAGGAAGGCAGGTCCATAGAAAAACCACAACCTCCATTTCTTTTGCGATCTGATGCAGAGAAAAGAGGAAAGCTGAGTTTGAGATCTATCTTCGGAGAATGATGAAGCGTTTCAGCAAGGAGGTTCGTGAGGACACACATAAGGTATTGGTCACAGAGAACAATGGCTGAGAAAAATATGAGCATAAAGATGTCTGAACTGATTTGTAATGAAGAAGAAACTAATTTTGATGAAGTAATGTGGGGCCTGTAGTCCTCTGTGCTCATTAGACTTCTCCTAAACTGTAAGTTAGAAACATCAGTGACTACATTATAAAACTAACTCAAAGCAGGTATGTATATCTCCACTGAGCATGTATCTGCTCATTCTGTTGGTGTTAAACTGTCAGTCCTGTAGAGCTGGAAACAGAAATAGGGACTCCAAAGCTTTACTGTCTTGTGATGGTGATCTGAAGACAGCCTATGTCCACCCTGGGAGGCTTCATTGTTGCCTGTGTCTGTTAAAAGGAGCAGTAAAGTCTTCTTTATTTTTACCATGCAAAGAAAACCTCTTGTGAACTCACTTTAGAAACTTTTTTCTCTCAGGTTCACCTCCTGTGTTTATTAGCAAATGGTTTCTACAGAAACAGGATCTGCAGCCAGCCAGAGCTTCATGCCATTGGCCTGTCCATCATCCCCACCCGCTTCACTAAAGTGCCTGCAGGCCAAGTGGACCTTCAGTACCTTTCCAACTTGGTGATATGGTAAACCTCTCTCTTGTGCTCTCACATAAAATGTAGAACCAGGCTTCAGGGAGAAGGGTACTTGTAGCTACTAATGTTCAGTGATTTTTCTGCTGTTAAGGACAAGGGAAGGAAAGGATAAACTATGAAGTTTAAGAAGAGTCACAAATGCTGGACAATAATGAGGTGTCCCTTATTTCAGGTTTGTTGGAACCTTCACTATCAACGACGAGCTTTCCAATGAAAAAGGAGAGTCCCTTCAGTCGACCTTGGAGAGGCGCTTTGCCATCTATGCTGCACGGGATGAAGAAGAGTTGGTGCATGTAAGTGACTGGGCACTGGTTGCTGAGTTTGGATGCTTGATGAGCACTGTCAGGGAAGACACAAAGTGGTGGTTGAGGAATGGATTTGGAGAAAACAAATTGGTGACTTAGGTGATTGTTGGCTTTTTCTTGTTGTTGTATTTTTATCTGGACTTAAAGTACTTAACCTGTGATTAAAGTATTCAATTTGAACTGTGCCCGACTGGATTTGGGAGACTTACTGCTGCTGCTCCAGCAGGATGGGTGATTTACCCTCTTTAGGAGTTTGTTCCTCATCAGTAAGTTAACAGCAATATCCCTGTCACAGCAGTGACATAAATAAGATTGTGCAATGCTTAAAGACTGTAGCAGCTGAGCTACCTACACATCATGTCGGTGTACACAGCACTGGGTAAAAGGTAGGAATGGAAAAGATTTGTGACAGAACTCAGATTGTAAAGGAGTTTCAAGAGGGTTTTTTATTAATACACCTTGAAAAGGGGTTAAAACATGCTTTGTTTTCTCTTTTGCAGATATTTTTAATCATTCTGCGAGCCCTGCAGCTGCTGTGTCGCCTTGTGCTGTCTCTTCAGCCTGTTCCTCTCAAGGAGGCAAAAGCAAAGGTAGTTTTTGTTGGGTGTGCGGAAGAGGGAATAGGCCATGGCTTTAGAGAGTAGGATTGGAAAAACTTTCTGGCTGTTGCAGCCTCAATTGAATCACTGCATGAACTAGAGGTGACCATGGTCTGTCTCTAGTGCAGAACACACAGACCCTAAATTTTTAGGTTTCTCCTTAAAAACCCACCTATTTTGTGTGTTTCAGCAAAGACTTTAGTCTTCAGTGGCTTTAAATGTCTTTAAAACTTAGACAGCAAACACTTGCTGCTCTCTTCAGCCATTTGCCTGAAGTTTTCAAGTCCCTGAGACATGCAGACTGACCACCCTTTGGTCTGCATGCACCTTGTGCTGATTTCAGTCTATATTTTAACATCTTAACCATAAGAAAGTGGTAAAAGTAACCTTGACTGTTCCTTGCAGGGGAAAAGCTCATTCACAAAGCAGCCTCTCAGCAGTACCTCTCAGGGGCAGAAGAGCTCTGCCATAACACCCAAAGCTGCAGCAAAAAAATGCCTCTGCAAGAAGGCCAAGCAAGAAGAGAAATCCTCAGAGGGTGAAGAAGACAACAAGGAACCAGACAAACCCAAAACTGCTCAGCCCAAAAGGCCACACAAGTCGCAGCTGACTGCAGGCAGGGAATCTGGTAATGGGCAGAGCAGTTTAGTGGAAAAAGATGTTCCAGTCAGGCCCAAGAACAGTCGGCGGAGACGAGTGGCTTCCAAAGTGTGTTACAAAGAGGAGAGTGGCAGTGATGAGGGCAGTGAGTCGGACTTCGAGGTTTCAGAGGAGGAGAGTGATCTCTCTGATGAGGATTTTGAAGCTGTCTCTAAAAGGCAGAGGAGCTCAATGGGCTCCCAGAAGTCAAAGGTAACAGCTACAAAAAGCCCCAAAGTTGAGACTTCCCAATGGAGGATATCTCAGAATTCATCTGGAGCTGAGCCTAGGCCAGCAAAAAGTCCAGCTCCAGCCTTGGCTTCTGCACCAAAAAAGAGGAACAAAATCATTTCTAGTGATGAGGATGATGGGCAGGAGGCAAGGAAGGCAACGGGCACAGACCAGTGGCTGGAGGTGTTCCTTGAGCCTGAGGACAAGTGGGTGTGCGTAGACTGTGTTCGTGGCAACGTTGGCCAGCCCCAGTTGTGCTTCATGCATGCCACAAAGCCACTTTCCTACGTCCTGGGATTTGACAATGATGGGAGCGTGAGGGATGTGACACAAAGGTATGATCCGGTGTGGATGACGGCAACAAGGAAGAGCCGTGTGGACCCTGCGTGGTGGGAAGACACGCTGCAACCATATAGAAGCCCCTATGTGCAAAGAGATGAGAAGGAGGAAAATGAGGTAAATGGCAAGAGGTTACTCAGGACATTTAGTGCCAGGAGTCCAGTCCTTGGATTCTCATTTAGGCCAAAAGCATTAGGAACCTTTCCATGAGGAAGGAAGTTTGTGTTTGGGCTTGAAAGGTTCCAATTGAGCATGTTTTAAAGGGACTATAGATCAGATTAAAGATAGTAAAGATAAATTAGAAAGTAAAAAGAGTAAAGATGGATTAAAGTAATATCAATTGGTGGCTCTTTAGATAAATTTGCATAACAAAAATACTGGACAGTCCATGCTGGAAACTTACTCGTGGTTTCTGTACAGTTCAGCATTACCCTTCTCACAGAGAGTCCTTAAAATACATAGATCTGGGTACATATCTAAGTACCTATTTGCAACAAGAATGCTTTGGTGTGTGGCTGCATCTGATTAAGTTTCTGGTGGTTTTTCTTTCCTTACTATACTATAATCATTCTTCTTTTCTTACAAAGGGTGGTGCAGGACAGGTGTGAAATCACTCTTTCTTTTGTACCATTCCTACAGTTTCAAGTTAAGCTTCAGGATCAACCTCTACCAACAGCAATTGGAGAGTATAAAAACCATCCTCTCTATGCGCTGAAGAGGCACCTCCTGAAATACCAGGCGATCTATCCTGAGTCAGCTGCTATCCTGGGGTACTGCAGGGGAGAGGCTGTCTACTCCAGGTGAGTAGTGCAGTATCAGCAGTAGTCTAAGGCCACCTGCATAGACAAGGAGAAGCATTTAGCTGCTCAGACAGCATTTGTGTATCGCTTAGATACAACTTTTCCACTATACCTAACGTGATAACAGTTTAGAGAGACTTCAAAACTCTTATGGTCCCTTCCTTCTGGCCTTTATAGGGACTGTGTACACACGCTGCACTCCAAGGACACTTGGTTGAAGCAAGCTCGTGTGGTGAGGATCGGAGAAGTGCCTTACAAGGTAAGAGGGTTTGACTTCCTCTGCCCTCTAAAGTTCAGGCTGTGGTTTGGGTTTTGCCTTCTCTGTCAGCAGATGTATATTTCTCACTTGCATGGCTTGTGGTGTCTGTACTGGGAATCTGTGCTTCTAGTCCCTATATACCAGAAGCACAGGTGTCTCTTCTTCCCGCCCCAAGGGTATTGAGCAGAGTTGTGTACTTTCCATCTTCAAAGGCATCTTAGAGTTCTGTCTGAACTGCACAATCTGGCTCCCTTTGGCATACAGGCGCCATGGGTTACCACTTACAAGCAGTGGACACTGACGCTAGGAAACGGGCATTTCTTCCCCCGCAGAGCCTTCTCCTTTGATGTCCTAGGGAAGTCTGAAGTCACCGGCAGCTTGTTGTTGCAGTATTACAGGCTTGGTCATTGTACTTGTGCAGATGGTGAAGGGATTTTCCAACCAGGCCCGGAAGGCACGTCTCGCAGAGCCTGCAAACCAGGACAAGGAGGACCTGGCGCTGTTTGGCCGCTGGCAGACAGAGGAGTTTCAGCCGCCTGTAGCAGTGGATGGAAAGGTAGCTGGGAAGGCAGCTGGTAAAGGCAGTGTTTTTATGGAGCTACGGGCTTTATTTTTCCCGAAGTTGCATGTTTCAGAGGTGAAATCACCGTCAATAACCTCTGGATTCAGGATTAAGAGTTCAGAGGTTACTGCACCCACGAGGAAATGGTTACAACTTCACTGAGGACCTTCCCCAGTCCAAGTAATGAGTGCTTGCAGTGCAGGCTGCCAGCTTCCTCATTTCATTGATCTAAGTGTCCTATCCCATGTTTGTTGTGCTGATTCTCTGCATTGCAGCCTGAGTAGCAAGGCCTAGGCAGAGAACATAGCTGGGAGATAACCATGCAGGTAAAATCAAGGCTTGTGCCTTGTCATGTGAATACTAATTGAGTGCTGGAGTGAAACATAGCAGGTCAGCAGGAAGGAAGAGTCCCTGTGCTGCAGCAGGGACTCTCACCATTTCTCTTTGATTTTCAATGACAGGTTCCTCGGAATGAATACGGAAATGTTTATCTCTTCCTGCCATCCATGTTACCCATTGGCTGTGTGCAGCTGAAGCTCCCAAATCTGAACAGAGTGGCCCGGAAGCTGGACATTGACTGTGCTCAGGCCATCACTGGATTTGATTTTCACGGTGGCTACTCGCACCCAGTGTATGTAAAGCTGCTTTGTTGCACTTGACAGATCTTGCTATCCTGCACAAGTTGTATACCCTGTGTTAAGGAGTACATCTGATGGGTTACACTGATGAGACAGTTCTGGTCAGCAAGCATTTGGTCCCTTTCTGTTTCCTTCTAGTAACTGACGCAGTTGTGTTTTCCTTCCTAGCACTGATGGCTACGTTGTCTGTGAGGAGTTTAAAGAGGTGCTCATTGCTGCCTGGGAGAACGAACAAGCAGAAATAGAAAGGAAGGAGCAAGAGGTGAGAATTACTTCTGCAGTTTCCCTATTTATTAAGTAAATTTAATTGAAACTGTGGACCATTAAGGGTGGGCTCACAGCAGGAAGCATGGAGCTCTGCGACCATGAGGGGCCTATCTACATCTCCCCTCTGGCAGGTTAAAGCCATTCCCCTTGTCCTGTCCCTACAGGCCCTTGTCCAAAGCCCCTTTCCAGCTTTCCTGTAGCCCCTTTTGGCGCTGGAGCTGCTCTGAGGTTTCCCCTTCAGGAGCCTTCTCTTCTCCAGGCTGAACCATCCCAGCTCTCTCAGCCTGGCTCCAGAGCAGAGCTGCTCCAGCCCTCACAGCATTTCCATGGCCTCCTTTGGTCTTGCTCCAACAATTTTGTTCCAAACTGAGGGATACACACAGGAGTTTACAGTTTTGGAGGTGGCTCTGTTGTATTTTACAGTCAGGGAGCACGTTAGAAAGTGGCAGCATGTGTTCAGCAGATAACTGGACACCAACACATTTTACTGTTAAGAATCCTGCCAGCCTGTAATCTTGTAATGTGAGACATGTAAGTTGATGTGGGTTTTTTTTTAATGGCAGTTTCACATCTTCAAAGTTCCATTTTCTGTGGGTGTAAATACATTGAAACTTACAGTACTAAATTTCTCTCCATAACAAACCCATATAGAAGCGTGAGAAGAGAGCTCTTGGGAACTGGAAGCTGCTGATAAAAGGACTTCTTATCAGAGAGAGACTGAAGAAACGCTACTCCTTCAAGGTACCTGCAGTTCTAGTAGTGATTTCTTTTTCAGGGTGGTATTTCAGAGAGTCATGGAATCACAGAGTGGTTTGGATTGGAAGGGAACTTTAAGCTCATCTAGTTCCAACCCCAGGGGATGGTGGAAGCCACGCTATAGCGATGGAGGTGACACATGCTCCATAGGTAAATGCATGAGATGGAGACGGCCCAGCCCCACAGAGGGCTGATGATGTAGTGTCTACAAGAGCTCACCAGAGTCAGCTAGAACTAACTCCTCTGAGTTTTGCTTTAGGCTGTCACCCAGCTGAGCAGCACCACTACAAAAACACCAGCTGTTCCCTACCTTTTTTACAGGCTGTCTCCCATAAAAGACTCTCCTGAAGAGCTTTCAGTCTCTCTTCATTTGTTGCCTGTTTTCTGGCAGCTGTGTGGGCAGTTTGATTATGTGCTTGCTTTGCTGTGGGCAGTTACAAGTGGTTTCTAGAGCAATTTCTTGATTTTCATGCCTGTTTCTTCCAGACTGAACCCTCCGCACCAACGACAGAGAAAGGAGCAGGATTCTCTTCTGAGGAAGGAGGAGGGCCGAGCTCAGAGCCTGCAGCAGGGAATGTGGATCTCTTCTGGCCCCAGAATCGCCAGTTGGAGTTGAAAAAGGAAGGGAAGACAACCAGAAAGAGCAAGCGAGAAAGGAAAGGGGAGGAAGCCCATTTGTTCCCTTTTGAGAAACTGTGAGCAGAACAGGGTTTACTTTGCTGTCTCCAGATTGCAGGAACAAGTCACAACAGGTATCCTTTACCAGTCACTCTCCCTAGGAGAGCTAAGCCCTTTCACTTATGTTTCTGAGCTGCCAGGGACCAGCCTCACTCAGTATCCAGAGCTGCTTTTGCTGTCACAGGTAATGAGATCCATCCTTTTATCCTTGGACGTGGATGTGCAGTGGTACCTTCTGAGATCAGTTTATGCTGTCAGGGTTTTCTGCTCTCTTCTACATCACTTGGCACTAATAACTCACTTTTCCGAGGCATTCTTCCATTAGCACTGACTTTTCCCACTTTTTTCCTTCCCATTCTTTCCTGCTTGCTCAGGACAACAGCATGTGGCTGCTGTTTCAGTCTGCAGCAAGCTGGCCACAGAACTACTGAAACCTCGTTTGATTTGTACCGCACCTAAGCTCTGGTCAAGCTGCCTCATCACACAAGGAGCAGTACCTCCCCCGAGGTGTAACATGCAGTCAAGAGTTGGAGGAATGTGGGAGTTTATTTCCAAAGGAATCCCTTTTGTTTGTGAAACACAGGTTTGGCTTCTCAGCCTGCATCTTCCTTTGCTTTCAGATATAGTCTGCATTAGAAGGGAGAAGCCCTCTCCTCAGTTCAAACTTAAGTTTCAGTATGTCTTAATACATGCATGTATGCAAATATATATATACATGTATACAGATGTATACATATATATACACATATATTCAAATTACTTCAGCTATCAAGACCACGTGGGTACATTCTGAGGCAAAACCTGTAAAAGTGGCCAAGTGTCATTAGCAGAAACAAAACTCTACAACCAGAGAGGTTGTGTAACTGTTACCCAGTCCCTCACCATTTAAAAGCTGTTGGGAGGTATGTTACATCTGCACCTGCAGTAGAAATGCTCATCTATCTGTTGTAGTTATACATAAGTTACACTGACACTGTCTCTTCGGAAATAGAGGGGAATAGTCTAGTCATTGCTGGGCACTGGCACAGAGTAAAGGTGGACATGCAAGAAGATGGCTTATGTTCAGAAAAAAAAAAAGCTTTATTTTTGTACTGTTGTTGTAGAATGAAATAAAACGTGGAAAAAGAGTGTGTGGTCCATGACACCTCCCCTGCAGGCAGCTCATCCTGCAGGGAACAGCTCTTGCCCTGCAAGCCATAGGCAGGGACCCCTTCCAACTAGAGCAGCTTGCTCCAAGCCCCTGTGTCCAACCTGGCCTTGAACACTGCCAGGGATGGGGCAGCCACAGCTTCTCTGGGCACCCTGTGCCAGTGCCTCAGCACCCTCACAGGGAAGAGCTTCTGCCTAAGAGCTCATCTCAGTCTCCCCTCTGGCAGGTTAAAGCCATTCCCCTCATCCTGTCCCTACAGGCCCTTGGCAAAAGTAAATGAAGACATTATTTTTGCATCGGACACAAGGCGACATCCCTTTAACGTGATACAAACACAGAAGTTCAAAATAAGGTTAATTATATGAAATCTAATCAGGCACAACTGTTTTCATGGTTTAATTTCATGGAGTACGTTCATTGCCATTACTGAGTGAAATTCAAGAAAGAAACAATACACACAGCAAAAAACCCCAAATATAAAGAATATACATTCAATTATAAAAGTTACTTTTGTTTCAAGGCAGCAGGCTTGATTTCTGGAGGTTGGTGACCTCTGAGTACCCCTTAAGTAAGTGCAACTGGAAGGTCCATTTTTGATGTAGTTACGCAATGGTGTAAGTCCATTCTTCCATTTTGGATGCTTAACCAAGACCAACTTGGAGATACATAAAAACCTGAGGGAAATCAATGCTTTGGGCCAAATCTGCGCTGCCTCAGGGCACATGCACCTGACTGCTTGTTATTGCAAGTCACTCTGAAAACCCCCAGTCCAAAAGTGTACGTTTTACATGAGCATCATGTGAAACTTAAGTTGTGGTTCCCCTTTGAACACACACACACACCTCCTAATGCATCAGCCAAAGCAGCGTATGTGACTGTGCAGAGAATAGGCTGCAGAGGTTAGTCACAGGCACATATGTATTTCCTAAGGAGATCTGATCACCTCCATAGGATGAAGCTGGTGCTTGCTCCATGACACACAAGGTGCCTCACCTGTCACTGAGGACTTGCCAGTGCTCAAATCAGGAGCTAGTGAGCCATAAGAGGTACAATCTGCTGGGTTTGCTGATCAACACAGACACTCCAAAATGCCTTTTTTCCCCTAAAAAGTCAATGTCACTGACTTCTGCAAACACCAGCAGAGTCCCATTTTCATGAGTAACGTGTAGCAATCCCCTGCCCAGAGCTGCCCAAACGCTTCTGGCCTGGGATGTGCTGTGAGTGTGCTGCAGTAACCAGGACAGGAACGCACTGGAGGAGTTTCTTAACAGGGACCCAGCTCCCAACCCCGAGCAGCTCCTCCTCACTGCTGCTTCTTTGGTGGGACACGAGATCTTGCCACCACAATGGGCACTACAGAGAGCAGCGCGATGAGCAGAGCCCAGAGGGGCCGGTAGAAGAGCCAACCCACAGAGATGGTCAGGAGCGACAGCGAACTGGCCACGCAGAAGGCAAATGCCTTTAATCCAATGTTAACCAGATCTCTCACAACAGGAAACCAGTCCACTGCCGAAAGAATTAAAACAGGGATAAAGGAGTTGATAAATCATGGTTTAACAGGAAATCACGTTTAGGATTTGCTCACTATTGCAATCGGAAGGCGGACTCCAATTACTTATCAAGAGCACTGGGTAAGGCATTGCAGTAGAGCATCTTCAAGGCATTTGATAACTAAAGCAAGAGCTAAATATAAAAGGCAATGGAATTCTCATCTCCTCAGACAGGAAGCAATCCCAAATTAAGTCAGAAGACATGTCCAAGGTTTGAGAGGCAGAGCAGCCTGACAGCCTTGCAGCTGTGGAACAAGTCTAGAGCAACTGATACATAACACGAAACAAACTGGTTTCTGGCAACAATAATCTTGCAGTAGCATGTCTATGGATAATAGGGGAAAAAAACAGCTCACAGATACAAAGCAAATGTTAGCTTTGATGTCTGGAGTTTATACAAGTTTGAGGCACCATCTGCTTTTCTGTGTTTTTATTCCAAGATCTTCCTATGTTAGAAAGATAAAAGCTTTCCTTGCTGTTTGTTCACAGTAGTGTAAAATAACCAGACACACAGACATGGTGCTGTACAACCACCAAGACCTCTTGGGGGACCACCTGTGTGTGGGTTTAGAGAGTAACTGGATTGCAGCACCTTGGACTTGGAAGAACCAGCCCAACACATGCTTCACCCTGGTTTTGGTGAGCACCGGGCTGGGGGCTCCCAAGACTGGCAATGTTTTAATGTTCACAAAGCAGCCATCCAGTTCTGGGATCCTGTCTCCCTGCAATTGCCTACTGCAGCTTTCAGATCCAATCCAGTCTGAGTCCAGACCAGATTCCTTCTGCCCTCCGAAGTAATTAACTGCACATGTGAGCAATTAATCAAAATCATTTTACCTTTCTGTAAAGCAGCTTACCCAAAGTGTAGAAGATTCGGGTCATGAGGCTAATGCCCACAAACATCGCCAGCCAGCCTGCTCCACGCAGCACCCAGGTTTTCATGGTGTTCCCCTGGTGCTCCCTCTGAAACACTTCCTGAAAGGAAACACCATCACATGCAGCCTCTTCCTCCATTCCTCTCCACATCCTCCTGATTCCAGTGCATTAGGCGCAAATCAGAGCTGGCAGCGCTGCTTCTGTACTACCATCTCCAATCTCAGCCCCTCACTACTCCAGTGTGTGTCTCACCTCCACAGTGAGGTCCCCAGGGTACAGGATCTGCAGGACATCTCCAGACTTGGTATGATATGGCACCAGCTGATCTCCTCGCTGGCGAGCGACCACAGTCACCTGTGAGAAAGGGAGAACATTTACTGGTTACTGAGCTGGGAACAGAGTCTGTGAAATACAGGAACAGCTCAGGACTCACCTTCTCAGCAGAGCCCAAATGGGGGTCATCTCCACTCAGACCTGCATAGAAGAACGAGACACGAAGATCTCCCACCTACAGACAGAACAGTGGAAGTCAAGAGGGATTTCTTTACAAAGGAGAATCACAGGAAAGATACCCCTGCATGGGAACACCCTTTCTGCATCAGTTCCTATTTCAAGCCAGAGGATACCCAGCATGATTTCCAAGCTGCACTTTTTTTCAGGCCTAGGCCATAGCCAAAACAGGGCAGCTCAAATGGTGCTTTGCAACACCCCCTTTGATTTAGCTGCAGAAGCACATTAACATCAGCAAGACCCTTTGTTCATCCCTTGTCATGTTACTTCTTGGCAGAGGAGGGAAGGCAGCACTCATGTCATTGTACTCCATTCAGTACAGCAAGGCAGAGTTAAAACTCACCTCCCAGCACCATCCTGTGCCTTTCCATTTAAAAGCATGGCAGACTCAAGAAAACAGAAGACAAAAGCAGCCTCAGAAGCTTTCTGCAAGCAAAGCACTTGTGCTGAAGGGGACAGTACTAAGGGTGTTATCTCTATGATGGTCTGCACTCTGTTTTCTACGAATTTAAACAGGAATGGGACATGCCCCAGCTTTCTTTTTCACTTAAGAGCAATCACTGCTTTGGTTTATCTTTCCCATCTTACTTCTGGTCGCCTGGGGTTGTCACTGTGGTAAAAGTAATCTCCTCCGCGGGTAACATCAGCATGAGGATCCTCGAGGTGTGACAAGCTCAGCTGCTTGAAGTCATCGATTTTATCCACAAGACCTAAGCAGAATAAGGAACCAAGCTCAGGTCCAGTGTCTAACTTGGAACAGGCAATTTTCTGGCTGGCTTCTTCATTGTCACTTGAAATCATCATCACCGTTGAAAGAACCAAAGTCCACTGCTGATGCAACAGCAGACCCAGAGCCAACACAAAGCAATCCTTACCCTTGGAAAGAACAAAGCTGCCAACTTGGACGTTAGGAGAAACAGCAGTGAAAGACTCCACAGCCATGGCACTGAGGAATAGAGAGAGACCCTGATTAGTCCTGGAGTTATGATCAAGCTCTTCATCTGCAGTATGTAATACACAGCAGATAAAAGGTACTACATCAAACATCAGGAGAAACTCAGAGCTGAATGGCTGTAATGATGTGAAAACAAAATCATCAAGAAACTGTGTCCAGATTTCACAGTGTTGGAGCCATTAAAATAACTTAAGACAAGACATGACTGTCTCACCCCCCAGCCCAACCTTCCAGTCACACTGCAGGATTGCACTAGGAAGCTTCTCTATGGTGCTATA